AAGCCCCCCGCACCTCAGACAGGCCATGGCAAACTGTTTTTATTTAAGGCTACTTTGATTGCATAATCCCATGGCATCTTGTACAGTGCTCAGCCTAGGAGACTGTATGGAACAGCCATGTTTTTACTTTATATATTAAGAGCCAAACTGACATTGGGTTTTGTTGGCTTTGTGCAAGACAAGAATAGGCTTTGTAAACAGCAGGTCTGGGTTCAGATCTTACTCACTGGACAAGTTACTTGGTATCACTGATTTTAGGTTTTTATCTAAACATAGAGTGATAAAACATGGCTTAAGGATTGTGATGAGGAACTGAAATTCAATAGTCTATGTAAAATCTCTGTGTAGAGCATATCAGGGACTTGATACATGTTCCTTTTCCTATAACTTAACTACTCTCACTCTCACACATATACAAGTTTGAGTTGAAATAAAAACCAGACATTTTAAAATGTGATCCTGAACTTAGAAACGTCTGGATTTTGCCACAAGGGTTAACATTAACAAAGTGAAATTTGGGTTATCTATAAAATACAAGTTTGTCTTAATCTTTTACTGAGAACTTATAAAACTGAACATCTTCTGGGGGAATATGACTATGGACTTCTGAGAGAAAATCCTACAAGGGAAAACTGGGGGGAAAAAAAGTTGTATTTTGCTATGACTCTGGAAGGACCTCCTGTCCTGGGACCCCAGAGCTGCCTGTCTTCAGCAAAATCAAAGCCCTACATTGGGCACAGTGGTGCGCTGCTAAAATCCCAGCAACTTAGGAGGCTGAGGCGGGAGGATCACAAGTTTGGGGCCAGCCTGAACAACTCAGCGAGGCCCTCAGCAACTTAGCAAGACCCTGTCTGAAAATAAAAAATAAAAAGGGCTAGGGATGTGGCTCTGTGGTATAGCACACCTGGGTTCAACCCCCACTCTAATAAAATAACATCAGAGCCCTCTTGGCAGCGACAACTTGGGTGTGCTTTCAAACACGTCTTTATTTGCCATCCAAATAAGAACCCTAGTCCCAGAAGCTTGTTTTTCAAAATTTAGAAAAGCAGATGTTTTTGCTTATTTTTCTCTGTCTTTCCCCTGCCAAAATGCTTACTGGATTTCCATTAGATTCTGAAGTTGTTATTCTGTTTTGTTTTGCTTTTACTTTTAAGACAAATCTTGGAAGGGAGTCACTGTAAATTGGAGGATGGGCATCCAAACTGAGAAAGCTGTATTTTAGACTCTAATGAAAATGTTTGAGAAGCTGAAGGCAGGAAGTGCTAGAAGACTGGAGAGAGCAAGATGATGAATGCAGTTCTGAAAGGGTCTCCTGGCATTCTCCCCAGGCCTGTGAGGCTGGGGCTGCCCCAGCAGGCGGGGATTCCAAAAGGAGCATTGCTTTCTAAGGATTCCAGAAGCAGTGCAGGTAGTGGAACACGGCAGGCGGCTGTGGATGGACTGGGTGGATTGAGCATGTGCCAAGGGGGGTCCAGTGCCACTCACAGCCCCTGTACAGTATAGCCTCAGAAACGTGGTAGGCACTGACTGTATTCGTTTCTGTTTCCGCTGTAACAAATCAACTCAAATGCAGTAGCTTCACAGAATACATATTTACCTTAGAAAAAGTGACGGTCAGCAATCTGATGCTGTTCTGACTGGACAAAAATCCAGGCGTTGACAGGATCGTGTTCCTTTATGGAGGTCTCTGTGAGAATTCCTTTTTTATCCTTAGCTTTTTCAGCAGCTAGAGGCCCCCCACTTTCCGTGGCTACTGGTCGTCTCCCACCATCCTCACCAGTAGTGAAAGTGGGTTGAATCTTGTCATGTTGCTTCACTCTGATCTCTTCTGCCCTCCCTGTTCCACTATTAGGCACCTTTGTAGGTTTCACCTGGCCCAACTGAATACTCCAAGGTAATCTGTCTATTTTAAGGTCAGCTGAATTCCCCTTTGCCATGTATGGTAATATATTCACAGGTTCCAGGGGTCACAAGTGGACCTCTTTGTTAGGGTAAGAGATACTATTGCCTACCACAAGCACCTAGGCCACTTTTATATCGCATACAATAAGTATATGTAGTAAGACTCTTTCATTTGCAGGAAAGACCTAACACAAGCTAATAAAAAGGAAAGGATTTTATTGCCTCGGGTACTTGGGAAAGTTCCACAGGCATCATCCGACATAGCTAGATCCATATATCCAGTCAGGTCATCAGAGCCCTCTCTTTCTTGGGTTTGATTCTCAAGCAAAGGCTAAGACAGCTCCCAGGCAGTTCCAGGGTTACACAGTTCTTGAGACTGAAGATGCCAGAGAAGAAACCAGGATCTTTTTTTTTTTTTTCTTAGCCAGCACCAATAAAATGCTGAGGATGACTCTCATTGACCCAGCTTAGGTCACATGTACATCCTAAACAAATTATGTTTAGAGAGATACAATACTTGCTTCATTTCCAAGGGCAGGAATGGAGTCAGCCTTGCCAGAAACTCATGTACTGAGTTAGGGAGGAGGTGGCTCCCAAAGGAAATTCAAATTTCACCAAAAGAAGGAGAAAAGATCTCAGTCTATAGAAACAACAGGTGTCTACTCCACCATGTTATTGCTGGACTTCAGAACCATGAAGTTGGCATATTATTTGGCTCCAAGCCACAAGACTTTCGAACTTGAAAGAGAAGAGGCTCACCCAGGACAAGTAGTAAGTTAATTCAGGTAATATCTAAGAAGAGGAGTTGTGTAATGGGTAAGAGTGTGGGATTCGGAACCAAGTTATTGGTTGTATTTACTTGACCTCTCTGTGCATCCGTTTTCTCATCTATAATATAGGTATGATAAAGGTACCTACCTCTGGAGTTTGTTGCAAGGTTTAAATGTGTTAATACAAATGAAATACTTAGAATAGTGCCTTGACACAATAAAGGACAGCTGTCACCATCATGATTAGCATTTGTTATTATAAGTAAACTCCCTGAGCATGGCACGGGGGTTTGGAAAGTAGTTAGGAAATAAATCAGATACTTTCTTGATTTCTCTCTCTACCTGGGGCCACACAGTCTCCTCTTTCTGGAACTTTCTCCACCATCTCTGCAGGAATGGAGGTTCTCACCTGTAAATAGATTTTGACATAACTTTCTATAGTTGTCCTTCTTTCTCTGGCCTCAACTACATTTGTCCATCACCAAATGAATTCTCGGCCACTATTTCTGAATCCAGATTCTTGAGAGAATTCCATTAATCTGGCCAATGATTGTCTTTACATGAGAGGACACCACCTGTTTAATTAGCTGAGAAGAGCGAGGTTGGGGTTGTGTAACACTAAAGCGTCAGATATGTGTGTAGCTGCTGAATTTGGCAAGTCAGATCTGATAGACAATAGCACTCTCTTTATACAAGCTGGCATTTATTTGAGTGATAATATGGAAGCAAGAACAAAAGCAAAAGTGATGGGTAAGAGAGAAAGAAAAGAAAACACATCACCAGATCAGGGAAACAACAATACCTGAAGTCATGTAGCTGGGGATTCCCAAGGCAGCTTTACAGGGTCCCCACTGGGGAGTCCCAGGCAGAGTGTCCTCTCCTTGGTGAGACTCCAAAGTCTTATTCCCGATGGGGCTCCTTAAATAAAGTGAGAACAAAGAAAGTTCCGTTCTAACAACCTGCATGACCTGTGGTCCCCTCAAGGACACTTCATCCCCTAGGACAGACCAGATCCCCTGGGGAGGTACTGATGACCTTGAGATAAGCCTGTGAGTCTGAGTTCTCCTGAGTGAGCCAAACCCAGCATGAAGTCAGCATTCTTCAGATGTCCCATCAAGGACACACGAAGGTCACACCAAGCACATGGACAGGGAAGATCTTTACTATTTCCCTTAGCCCTTTAGGTCACCTCTTTCAGTAGGCATGGAAGGGCAGGTTAAGCCAAAAGAGGAAGTTTGGCTTAGCCAGAAAATTGTCTTTTAAATGCATGCCCTAGCAAATGGGAATTCCCCTACAAAACAAGAAATTTGTGTCAAAAAAATACTGGTTATATGTAGACATTTGGGAATAGGACAGTACTAGGAACTGCATTATACTAATGTTATAGTCTTCATAGAGAAGGAAAAAATGATCATTCTCCCATAATTATAAATGGCACATTTATAAATGAGACATTCTTGGCCCTAATTAGAACATTCATCAGATGGACAGAGACTCTCATCCTATTCCCTGTTGAAAAACTCATTCCTGGAGCAGAAGTTCTAGTATAGTGCTCACAATCACTGTCAGGGGAGTGGATTCCAGAGTGACCAGTGATATCCCCAAATCTTCCTTTTGGTGGCAGGAAGAAAATTCCTCATTCGCTTTTTTCTTATGCCTTAGAATTATACATAATGGTGGAATTTGTTGTGACATATTTGTACGTGCACACAGTATAACAGTGTAATTTGGCCAGGTTTGTTCCCCAGTTCCTTATTTGTCTTTTATTCACTGTGACCCTTTTGTTACTTTGGAATGTCCCCATATTTTTTCAATAGTTTCAGTCCTGAGTATTCATGACATCTCAGTGGACACAGAATTTGCCTCAAATCCCCTGTCCTTTTTCTCGGAAGACTTTAGTAAGAATCTTTCTGGTGAAGTACTTCTATAGTGATGGGGAGGGTCAAGGAGTACTGACGGAATTTCTTAGCTCTGAGGCACTACAGGAAGGCTGGAAATGCTTTGGATCAGGGCCGGGTATCTTAGGAAGCACTGAGATTTGGGGGAAGACAAAGCATTGTCAAGATTTTGATAGAGGCCTGCTGGGAAAGTCTCCACTGTAAAGGCTCCTGTGCCCCTTTCTAGTGGAACAATTCGTAGGCTCCACGCTTGCTTTCAAATGGATTGGTTTTGAAGCAGTCAACAAAAAAGCATCCTGCTGCCAGGGCCAACCATCAAAAAGAGAAAAGAGAGCAATGCAAACCGTGGGGGAATGTGCGAAAGAGAAATATTGTAGAATGGAGATGTGTCTGTGCTGGCCTGATACCATGTGCATTATCTCCCCCAAAGGACCCCGTGGTTTAATGGATGGGGCTTTAACCTACCCAGAGGTCAGTCTCTACTGGACAAGTGGAACCTCATCCCTGAGGGCATCGACATCCTCATGACACATGGACCTCCTCTAGGTGAGTAAAGTAAAGGTTATCCTTTTGTCATAGGAGATGACTTTTTTCCCAAGCATAATGAATAATGCTTTAGGGACATAATCATTTTCCTCCAAAAAAAAAAAAAAAAGTGAATACAAAAAGAAAAAGTCAATGTCTTTAAAGAAACCCAGTATGATAATTAAACTCAGCAGTTCTGCAAGGCTTACAGGTGTTCGTGAAATTAAATTTTTTGATTTAGTCGAGTCAGGGAAAAATCAAATGAGTATGGAGCCCCACAGTCTTTTGAGCTTGATAATTTATTTTAAGAATTGTATTCACTTTGGAGTAAGGGGGAGTGGGGGATGGAAAGAGGACATGGACCTACCAATCACAGGGCTTTTGAATGGCAATGAAATGATGGAAACTTTTGTTCAAAGGAGCTCATTTTACTTTTCCACATAATGCTGGAACCTGGGGGATCTTTAAAGTTTAACATTTGAGCTGATTATATGAGAAAAGACTTTTTTTTTTTAAATTAAAGTGTTCAGTAAGGACTTATGTTGAAAGTTACTTAAGGATACTCATTCTATAGGCACCTTGGGGCTGCAGCCAGGTTTATATTGTCTGTGTGCTTCAAAGCCATTCCCTAGGGACCCAGATTATGGGCCAGAAGATGATTATTGATTTATATAATTATCCTTAACTATTCATGAGCTTGTTATGGTTTGACTTAGCCATAGAATATTTTTCAACCAGGACCTACCATCTGGTCCCCCATCTACTCAGTACCCCTTGTGCAAGGACCCTGCTGTCTAAGGTACACTCAGAAAACTCAGATGTTTCACTTTAAATGGAGAGTGTCTTTATTATTATTATTATTATTATTATTATTATGGTAAAAGAAACATGACAGGAAATCTACTCTTGTTATCTATTTTTGATTGTACAGTACTAAAAGAGTTTTCTTGATAATCTTGTTTTGAGATGGGGAGTCTTGCAAATATAAATGATCCTCACGATATTTCTTGTTGTGGGATGGTTATCCATGTTGTTAATTTGCTAGCTAAATACTCTTATCAGTGTTTGTTGCCTAATGAAGGTACCTGAGTAACCAACCCTACAGAGCTGCTATACCATCCAACTTTATCCATCTGCCTGAGCAGCCTAATCTAATTGGATGTGGTCATGATGTTCCTTTGGCTATTTATTGTAAGGGCTTTGGGCATCTTCAGTACAGAAACATTTACTGGACTATAAGTATTACTTAGAATGTGACTTTGAATTGAAAAGTTAATTCACAAATTTTAATCAAACCATTCAAGAAAAACACATCCATGAGATAATATGCCAGTCACTGTGGATTTAGGATTTTCCCCTCTTGTTAAAAAGTTTTGAACATCCTGGTTTGATTTTTATCAGGAGCCTCCACTTTCATCTGATGTTCTCCCCAGATTCTCTGGTCACTTCCCACACCCAGCTAACCCGTCTTTACAGAGACACTAAATATTCATGTCTACAGTTTGACCAAAGAAAGCAGAAAGCTGCCTTTTTCTGCCCAGTCCATTCTAAACAGTAGAAATAACCTAATGGAACCATGAAATGGATTCCCACAGATTATGATTTAGCCTTTCATCCCACCTGCCTTCCTCATGCTCCATCCTGCTGGGGTGTATAGATTTCATTTCAGACCACAATCATCCAGATAGCTGACTTTTGCTATAATTAATGTCCGTTTTTATAGATTTCCTGCATTAAGCGTAGTACTAAGTGGCTTTTACTTTAAAAGTAGTCAATTAGCCCCAACTTGCTGGATGCCACCATGAGGTCATATTGTTGCCTGTTGCCATAGAGTGGAGAAGCAATGGGCATTCCAAAGCACTGGTCACGGGAACCACCAAGGGTTAAGAGCTGATATCTTCAAAGAGAGCAAGGGATCTTGTGTCCAGTTCACAGATAGTCCCTTCCTGTTCTGTCTCTGAACCATTTTGTAAGTAAACTGCTCTCAGAAAGTATAAGAAAGATAAAATTTAAAAAAAGAAAGTAACTGAATCGAGGGAGAAAGAGATATTATGGGGCTGCCGGGAATAAATGAATAAATGTCATTTGAGCCCCATGAAGAAGATTTGAAACCCATGGCTGAATAAATCAAATTCCTTACAGGAAAAAAAAAATGTTAATTAACGGGGGGGGGGGGGGGGGGATGGAAAAAAAAATCAAGAACCTAAAGAAGACAAAGCGACGAGTGAAAAGTTTCTTAAAAGCCATTGTGAGCTTTAATGGAGAGGCTGGGATTACAGATAATGTAATAATCCTTCTGTGAGTTATGGCTTCCTGAAAGTCTAAATGAAACCTTACCTGAAGAGAGAAAATTAAGAGTATTGATTGCATTTCACCCTTAGGTTTTCGAGACTGGGTTCCAAAGGAGCTTCAAAGGGTGGGCTGCGTAGAGCTGTTAAACACGGTCCAGAGGCGAGTCCGACCCAAGCTGCATGTGTTTGGTGGAATTCATGAAGGTAAGCAAGAAGGGATTCATGACTCACTCCAAAGGAAGACCTTAGCTAGACTGGGAATAACTAGAGCAGTGGTTTTTAAATATTTTGGCAGTGGAATCCTTTAATAAGATGAAATCTTATGAGAAAAATCTGCACATAAAGCTGATAAATATTTCACATGGAACTGCTTGCTCTCTTTTACAGAGAGTAGAGCATAGGAACCCTGTCTGGCCCACCTTACCACAAACCCAGCATTCCCCCAGGCAGCTTAGAATCTCAGGGCTGTAAAGAGGAATATTTGATAATCACTGCGGCAATGCAAGCCTGAGGTATGTAAAGACAAATTTTCTCTTTAAGAGAGTTAGAAGAAATGCCCTGGATATTAGAAGCTATTTAAAGCTTGTATAGTTCATGCCTACCTATAAATATTATGTTTCATATGAAATGCATAAAAAGACCCAGGAAGACAAGGCATTCTCTGAAAAATAACTGTGGCCCTGCAGTGAAGGATATACAACAGAAGCAGAAGGAACCAGCACATTTGAAGGCTCAGATTAAACATAGTAATTAAATCTCCCCTAAGTATTAGGGAACTGGTCCGTTGCCATTTTCTGCCTTTCAAGGTAAACTGAGTCAGGATCACAGAGCTGAAGCCTCACAGGAGGTTTCAGGGCTGGCTCTGGGTTTTGTTTGCTTCTCTTGCCTTTTTCAAACCAGAGGTAACTGGACTTTTGTGCAGACACAAAGCCCTCCTTCAGTGGACCTTAGGTTTTCTGAGCTCACAGGCTCTGCCAGGGACACATATTTGTGTGCAAAGGGTACATTTATGTGGGCAGCCACCATATTCTCCCCGGATCCTGCTTGCAGCCGCTCCCTGCAATAATTTATCAAGCTGCAGTCAAGTTGAGGTGTATAAGGCTATGTGCCTGACGAAGCAAAAAACAAAGTTTGCTTTTCAAAGTCCACAAATCCAGTGGCTTCCTGGTTATGCAGGTAATAAAGAGCATATCGAAAATCATCCTACTGAGGCCAGAGAAAATTCAGCTTGCTCCAAGTGCAGGCACCAGCTGAGTGACTGGAAGGAGGGATACCAGCTCCCCCAAAGCAGGCAGCAGCAGACATCAACTCCTCTGACTCCACAAAGGAGGGTACTTCTCTATGATATGATGCAGGGAGGGGAGACCAGAGATGGGACCTCATATCTCAATTGCATTTCAGGGGGACCATTATCTTGAAAACTGGTTTGAATTCCTGCAGCATTCCTTTGGGTTTGCATTTCACCCCCCCCCACTTTTTATAATTTAAATCATTAATTAGCTTTAAACTATCCAGACAATTGGGGAATTCCACTAAAGTCCCAAAATAATAAACTAGTTTAAAAGGGAGGAGATCATATTCAAATAAACTTGTCTCGCCTTTATTCACTTAAGACAGCTGAAGAGGGCAGAGAGAGGGCAAATACCAACCTCTTGATGGAGAGAGATAACAAGACTTTATGACCCCAGAACTAAACAGTGCACATTTTAAATGCCTCTTTTCTTTTCTTAAGAGATTTTTCCATTGACCCTCATTAAGCTCTCCACAGGCTTACTTGCAGAAATTTTAGCAAATGGAAAAAAAGAACCTTATCAGTGATTTCTCTAAATCCTGGTAATTTTATTTCTTCATGGCTATATTTTTACATGCCTTAAGAGCTTGATATCGATATAGAATTGCAAACTTAGTTGCAGAAGCTGGAGAGCAAATAGATGGTATCCAGGGAAATATGCAAACTTCCAAACGTCCTAAAATTAAGCGTATAAAATTATAAAAGAAGCATACATGCCAGAGTTCCAGGGAAGTTTTCTTAGCTTTGTTCCAATAGGTCACTTCCAAGAGGTTTCTACTGCAGGCAGGGATTGATTTTGCTTGATCTAGTGCTCAGGTAAGCTCAGGAAACAGTGGCCTATGGTGATGTTTCTGTACATCACTTGGACAGTTGATTAGTAGATGCTTTTGAATGAAACTTTGAAATGCAACTCCGCATCAAAGCCACACAACTCAAGGTAAAATTACCTATGGTTAACTCTCACAGAGACAGTTTATTTCACAGAAATGGAAGCCCAGTATCCACATCTCCCAACTCCCAGAGTTCTTTCCCTTCACCTGCCCTGAAGCCCACTTGGAATTTGGTCTGTTTGTCCCTGAGGAGTTACTCCTACATTACTCACTTCCTTCCCTAGAACTCAATAGTTCATACCAGGGCTTTGAAGTGAAAATGCTATTTTAAAAAGTGGGGGGGTCAATATTTTTCTTTATTCTCCCTACTAAAGAAATCACAGTCATTCCCTGACAAGTCTAGTGTTTAAATAAGAAAAAAAGAATCACTCTTTGTTGAAGTGGAGAATTCCCCCCCCACCCTTTAAAGAAAATAGGATAAAATCAGACAGCAGCTCCTGAAAGTCGTCGGATCTGGGCAGGCAGGCTCAACTGAATTTCAACTCGCTGCCCCACTGACAAAGGCTTTCTTGTTTTCCTTGCCTGATGGCCCTACGTTCAACCACCATCATTTGTATACATTACAGTAACTGTGACACCATCTCCCCACAGGTTACGGCATCATGACCGATGGCTACACAACGTACATCAATGCCTCAACATGTACAGTCAGCTTTCAACCGACCAACCCTCCGATTATATTTGACCTTCCGAACCCACAAGGTTCCTGAAGCTCTAACTATCTTATTGGAAAATGAGGGAAGGTCTACAAACTGCCATTTTTCTAATTATAAACTTACATTCTCTTACTTGTTTATTTCCAAATGCTGTGAGTTCTTTTTGTAAATTGTTGAAACAAACAACAACAAAAAAATGATGCTAAAGGTTGTGCTTCTTCTTCTTCTTTATTATTATTATTATATTATTATTATTATTATTATTATTATTTCTAAATGGGGCACCCATTGGAAATCAAAGGAGCATTGTGAATTTGTAAAATGACTTCTGATTTTTCAAAGGCCACGCCATTGTAAATTGTTAGTGTTCGCCAAAGGACAGCCAAGCTTTCTTTTAAAAAGTGAAAGAAGTCTTATTTTAATATGCTTTAAGCTGGAAGAAAAAGAAAAAAAAATGGAAACAGGTAGACAGTGTTTTAAAAACCACCCAGATTTGCACAACTGTTTTAAAGAGTATTGTTTTAAGTATTTTATTTTTTAATGTTTTGTTGTTGTCGTATTCTTGGTTATGCTTCATTTTTGCAGATGTGGCCCTGATTTAAAACAATCTTCTCAACTGAAGTAGGTATGGAAAAAGCCTTCTCGTCACATTCTTGCTGGAAAGAAGACGTGTGTCAAGGGAAGACAACAGCCCTCATTTAAAGGATGGCTTAGCTAGTGAGATCCATATCGTGGTTTTACAAGGTCTCATTGTTTGTTTGTTTCTTTTAAATTATTTTAGCTTTAAAAATAGGGAAATGGAACCTGTAAAGAGCAGGTATTTCATGCAGTAAAAAAAAAAAAAATGAGTGTGCAGACTCCTTTTCAGTATGGGTTTATATATATAAGTATTTTTTTGTGTGTACTCTAAGTTAGGAGTTTAACATTGCCAAGGACAGTACAACTGCGGTGGGATGCTGTGTGGCTGCACCTCAGAAGTCCGAAGGAACTGACACATTTTCTCAGAACTCAAGGTCTTAAAGAGCTTGAGTTAAATCTAGGTACAGTTACAAGCGTGTATAGAATTAAATGGATGCAATGGAAGCTAACTAAAATAAGGCTTAGTTGTCCTTTCTATTTAAATGCCCTGAATTGTCTTCTTACTTCCTCTCCCCCCTCTCCCATTTTGCACTGTGTGTCGATGCAATCTTCGCTAGCACAAAATATTGTCGCTAATAGTCATTTCTGTTTTCCCATTGTAAATGCTGTTGAGCTTTATTCTATTTTATGTTACCTTGAAATTTAGGAAAGCTGTTGTTTCTTTAAATTTATTGTGATATTCTATATCTAGCGGCCTTTATATGCAAATAAAATTGCAAGATTTTTAAATCTGTGCTGTTTGGAGAGTTGGCTGGTGGAAGGGTGGTAGTTTTGTATTGTGGAGGGGCGGGATTCTTCATATGCTACATCATAATCCCTTTTAGAATAATTAAAATACATGATTTTTTTTCCTAATTTTCAATAAACTTTTATTACCCACCATGCACAAGCTGGCAAGTAGGTCAATAAGACCATGGGTGTAGTCTTTCCTTCCATTGTGCTGTCATCTATCTTGCTGTAGATTTCAGAGGGTGCAGATTTCATCTTTGGCCATTGTAAGGTTTGAGGGAATAGGGTGACTGTGTATGGGAATGCCATTTCAGGTGTATTGTATGTGGAAGCCGTTAATGATAGAGTAATCATTGCACATTCTCATTTGTCCCCATTAGCAGACCCCATCTCCCCATCACTGTTGTTTTCTTGAAATGATATCCACCAACAAAATGCTTTGGCATCCAGGAAGGGGCAGGCAGTGGGGTAGGATAATGCCTGTCTTTTTTTATTTTTTCTGGAAGGACCATTGAAGAAAGGCAGTATATCTGCAGTGTATCTCCAAAGTCTACTTCTCAGTCAATGCCTCTTGGATTGCATTTGGATACATCTTCCTACGTGTGCATCCTTTGGTGCAATTCCTAAAAGGAATTCTCCATGTTACTCCCAGCAAAGAGAAAGTACTAGGCCTGAATTTCAGCTCAGATTCACATTTAATCATCATGGTCCATTGTAGTTGTTAACATTTATTAAGCTTCTTGGATGCCACGCAGAGCTTATGGTGGACATTAGTCTAAGTTTGCAGAGAAGATGTTCAAGCTTACCAAGGAGAAGAGGTCCATGATCGTGTCGTAGCTATGATGGGCCAATGTAGGTTCTGAAAGAAATTTACATCCTTCCTTTGACCTGCTACCTCAGTAAAAGAGAGTATTGACTTCAAGCCCCTTTCTGCAAGGCTGGAAGAACTAGACTGCTGGATGGAAATTTCACCTGGCTCTTGTACCAGGAGGTAGGCTCAGATGTCTCAAAAAGCAAGCTCTCTAGAAATAGGTGGATGATCACCATGACAAGTGTGCAAACCAGTCTGGACACAAACTAATTAAGCTGAGCACTTACTAAAATTGCTTTCCATTGTGTGGGAACAGGAGGCAATACAGTCTACTAAATCCAGAGGGTAGCCTGGCTCATGGACAGAGATTCCTTTGGCCAGGCCACAATTCCATGTGTGTGAACTGCCTCCAGGAAATCCATAGAAGACTGTTCAAAAACCTAAAGTTCTCTCCATTGGGCCTGCTAACAAGGAAACATTCAAAATAGCTCTTATAAATCAGGCCCTTTCTATCCTTCTATCACCAGGCACTCTGCTGAGCAGGTTTCAGATTTTATTTCTAATCTTCACAAAATCCTGGGGGAAGTCACATAAGCCCCACTTTATAGATAGGAAAGTATCCCTCCCCCAACCAAATAATTTCCCTTAGGAAAATGTAAGGTTCAAAATCCGGTCTGTCTGACTCCATAGCACATACCCTTTCCATCACCCCTGCTTCCATGGGTTAAGTGAATGCCTTTGAGGACTGATATAAACTGGTGGGGCCCGGGGCATTTCCTGTCCCTCACATAGGAACCCACTGGAGTACCTTGCAAGCAGCTTTCCAACAATATCAAGCTGGATCACTTCCTCTCTGCTTGAGATCCGGCACAGTGCCTTGGATAAGAGCAGAGACCCTAGGGTCAGTGGGCCAGCCCACATCCCACCTCCACCATGGATTAGTATGGCTTCCTGCACCTGGGTGCTCGCTTTCTCCATAAATAGGGCGGTGATAATGAGGAGGAAGTTGTGTCATATGAGTTCATACATGGAGATCACTGCCTGGCATATAGTCAGCAGTTACCCCTGCTGTGTCTTGAGATTCTCCAGGCAAGATTCTGTCTGTTGACTTCTCACCCTGGAGAGCACCAGGTGGCACTGTGTCGGAGACAGCATGCTTGTGTGCATTCTTAGGATCTGTAACACACTTCCCGCCCTAGAAATATGAAGAATCCCAAGGGCATTTCTAAGAGGCAGATAAGGAAAACTGACTTCCGAGTTTGGGCATTATATTTTGCAAAATCCCTTTTAATCTCCAAATAGGAAGGGGTCCCTACTCTTTCAAGTTGCTTAAAGTGGCACCCACAGATCTTTCCTGAAGCATCTTTCTCCCCTTGGAATTTTCCCTCTCCATCCCACCACATCCTTCTACTTCAATTAGTGAAGTTTTTTTCCTGTATATTTTCTTGTAATCTCCTTTTGTTTTATAAAGATATTAGGGGGATCCTGAAATCCCTTTAAGAGACAAATTGCTGTTATTCTGACAGGTGGTCAATGTTAAGCCTGTCTTGTCTCCATCGCTGAAGGAAATAAATACTGTGACTCCTTAAGTAGGAAGAATCGGAAGCTGGGAGGATTTAGGATTTGTTGATTGCAGATGAAACACTTGCTGTGCCCCAGAATCATGCCCTCATCCCCCATTCTCACCCTGCAAGGATGTGCAGCTTTAGTGGAGGCTTTTAACATCCTTATATTGTTTCGATTTTCCAGTATCACTTAATGTTCTATTCCCATTTTCCTAAAAGTTTTTAGGAACTTTTTGTTTAAAACAAAAGTGAACTGAGCTCTACTTTAAGAATTTGACCATAAGCGGAAGCATATGGAAACACTATTGGATATGGGTAGGAAGCAGCTGGATGTTGTTATGGTTTGTATGTGTGAGAGGTGTTCCCCAAAAAGCTCACGTGTGAGACAATGCAAGAAGGTTCAGAGGAGAAATGATTGGGTTGTGAGAGTCTTAACCTACTCAGTGATTTAATCCCCTGATAAAGATTGAGTGGTAACAGAAGTGGTAGGGTGTGGCTGGAGGAGGTGGGAATTGGGGCGTGGCTTTGGGTATATATTTGTATCTGTAAAGTGGAGTCTCTCTCTCTCTCTCTCTGCTTCTGGACCATTATGATATGAGCTGCTTCCCTCTACCACTTTATCCTGCCATGATGTTCATCCTCACCTTGAGCTCTGAGGAATGGAGTTATCCTTCTGTGGACTAAGACCTCTGAAACCACGAGCCCTCAAATAAACTCTAACCTCCTCTACAGTTTGGCTGGTCAGATCCTTTAGTCACAGCAGCGAAAATGCTGGTTAAAACATATGTAGGGGGGCTGGGGTGGTGGCTCAGCAGTAGAATGCTTGCCTCGCATGTGTTAGGCACTGGGTTCGATCCTCAGCACCACATAAAAATAAATAAACAAAATAAAGGTATTTAAAAAAAAAACAGATGTAGGAAGGGTTTTAGGATTGGAGAGTCTTAACCATGGGTTTCATGGAAAGCTTCAGGAAACCTCCTTGAAAACTTCTAGAAACCTCCTCTTAATACAAAAATGTCTCTCCCCCTTCCTGTAGTGAAGTAGCAGGGCTGCTGAGTGTCTGTCATCTCCCTAGCATGGCTCTTCCAGAATGTTCAAGCTGCTGCTTTCTTTCCTTTTCTAAACACCCACTTCCTCTAAACTGGCCTATCCTGCTTTTCCAGGAGGAGAAAAACAGATTCCAAAGCTTCCTGGAGAAGCCCCACTCTTCCCTGGTACCCACACAAGGATCAGTCTCTGCCGATCATGAGAGGTTGGGAGAGGGTCGGTGGCACCACCACAGTCACATAGCAAATCAAAGACAGAATCCCACATTGTCATTTGGATTCTCAATTCGGAGCATGAATATTTTTCAGCTTGACCTTCAGGAAGAATCGAGATGGAAAGATCAGTCTGGGCCGGATATAATATGATTTT